GTGTCAAGTTGTCAGTTAAAGCTAACTAAGACAACAACTTAAATATTTCCTGAACGGACTCACTGTCAGCGACTGCAATCTATCACTCCAGTTGCTAATATATTTTGAGGGCTTTCATGTCAAAGTTACCGGGCTTTTCATAACTTCATAGAAGCTATTGGTCTGCCATTTCCTTCCTTCTTAAATACTGTTTCCCGAGTTTCCATGATGAGCTGACACCATTCTCATCAAATAGGTTGAGTTTTTCTCCTCTTCTATTCCTGGGAGAAAGTGATGCAGTTTCTGTGTTGGGTAAAATTGTTATGGGACCAGTTGGACCCAGAAGTCTTCAAAAGGAGAGTTTTCATCCTGTTTGATTTCTCTCATGAATTTAAGATTATCCGTTTCATCTTGTCTGGCTTTTGGAAATTTGTGGGGGTTTTTTTGGTTTTTTTTTTTTTTTTTTTTTGAGAATTTGGTCATCTTATTCCTAAATTCTCGCATATGAGATAGAGTTGTTCCTTGCATTCCTTTATTGACTCTCAGTTGCTGCGAGATCTAGAGCTATGTCCCTCATGTCTGTTCTTGACTTTGTGTTTTGTATCTGTATTTTCTTTTTGTTTTCATCCGGTCTTGTTAGGGGATTTATCAGTTTTATTTTGTATTTGTTCCTTTCCCTTAAGAGAGTTTGTATAGATTCATCAAAGTGTTTTTATGGACAGTTTCTTTGACATTCTCATCAAATAATCTTAATTTCTGATTTTCTTTATTCTTTTTTTTTTAATCTTGTCTTCCATGAAACATCCTAACTTCGGCCTCCCCTCCTCCCAGCCCCTCCTAACACCGCTCCTCCCCCAGACCCACTGCTCCTCCGTTTTCCTGCCCAGTAATACCAGCCGAACACAACATAACAAGATTCAGTAAGACTAGGCATGAGCCCTCATATCAAGGCCGGATGATGCAACCCAGTAGGAGGAACAGGGCCCTATGAGCAGGCAAAAGATTCAGAGGAACCCCCACTCCTGCTGTTAGGAGTACAACAAAAAAAAAATTCCAAGCTGAAAAACCATAGCATGTATGCACAGGGCCTCGTGCAGGCCCATGCAGGCTCCATGCTGACACCTCAGTCTCCGTGAGCCCCTGTGGGTGCTGCCCTGATTCTATGGGCCATGTTATTGAATCCTCAACCCCCCTGACTTCTACAATCCCTCCTCCCCCTCTTCTCCTGGGTTCCCCAAGCTCCAACTACTATTTGGCACTGTCTATGCAGATAGCTGAATAGCATTAGAAAGAATTCCATTGACTTTGTTTAGTCATGTTTGGATGTACTCTAGGTGTCTGAGCCATCCAGCTTCCATTCCTGGCCATCCAGGCAGTGCCTGGCAGAGGCTCTTTCTCATGGGGCAGGCCTCAGATTAGACCAGTTATTGGTTGGCTACTCCTACAAGTTCTGTGCCGCCATGGCCCCAGTGCGCAGGTGGGACAGGTGTGGGTCGAAGGTTTTGTGGCTGGATTGGTGTCCCACCACTGGGAGCCTTGTCTGGCTACAGAAGATGGCTGGTTTGGGTTCCACATCCTCCATTACTAGGTGACACGAGGGCCACCCTCATGGGATCCAGGAAGTTTCCACACTTCCCACTAAACGCCCCCATTCCAGTCGTCTCTCCCCACTCTCTCTCCCTCTGTCTCCCCACCACCTAATTCCTCCTCTTCCCGTCCCACCTACATCCCATCCGCCCACAAGATCTAGTCTGCTTTCCCTCCCCAGTGAGATCTGTGTGTCTCCCTGCCCCCGCTAGGTCTCTGCTCTTTAATTTCTCTGGGTCTGTGGACTGTAGAAGTGATACATTTCATGTTTGTCTTTCTGGGTCTGGGTTGCCCTACTCAGGATTATTTCTTCTAGTTCCATCCATTTGCCTCCTTTATGCTGTTGTTGTTTTTAACAGCTGAGTAAGAATCCACTGTGTAAATGTACCACATTCTTTTTATCCATTCTTTGGTAGAAGGACCAAAGGTTGCTTCCAGTTTCTGGATGTTATGAATAAAGCCATTATGAACATAGTTGACCAAGTGTCCTTGTGGTAGGATGGACCATCCTTTGAGTATATGCCCCGGAGTGGTATAGCTGGTTCTTGAGGTAGACCAATTCCCAGTTTTCTGAGGAATCTCCGTGTTGATTTCTGCAGTAGCATTCCAAGTTTGGACTCCCGCCAGCCCTGGAGGAGTGGTGGCATTTTGTTGCCTTTTGTTATTCAAGTTGTGTTTTGCTTTTTGACAGGAGAGTGAATTTTTGAAAAATATTTATTTTTTAATTGTGTGTGTGATGCATGTGTGTTTTGTGTGTGCGTGTGTGCGTGCTGTGTGGTGTGTTTGTAGGGTGTGAGTGGGTGTTGTGTTTGTAGGGTGTGTGTGTGTGTGTGAGGTGTACTTACATGAGTGCAGGAATCCACAGAGGCCAGGAAAAGGTGTCAGAGCCCCTGGATCTGGAGCTGTGAGCTATGTGAGCCTTCGACATGGGTGCTGGGGGTGCTGGGACCTGAGCTGCTCTTTGCAGAGCTTTTGTAAACTACTGAGCCATCTCTGCAGCTCCGAGCAGCGTTTCTAAATAGCACCCTGAGTACCCTGCTCTATCAGAGATGCTGGGTCTATTGGAGTATTTTATTTGGGCAAGCTGCCACTGTGTTTATTAGACATGATGACTTTGGCCTGCCTTTGTGGGATGTGGTTTCAATGATAGCATCATTTTCGCCACATTTGTGATAGATTTCTGTGTCTCCACTGCTGCTGGCTGAGGTGGCGGCAGCAGGCTCCTCAGACCAGAATGTTCAGTGCATGGAGGAACAGAGTGACTCCTTCCGCTGCTGTCTCCTGGTGTCCCTGTGTCTAGGCAAGAAGAGGCAGGCAGAAGCCTTGATCCCCATGCATGTCCTGGCTGCTTGATCTTGATGACGCTGTCCAAAGGAGAAATAGGTTAGGATTCTGGAAACAAAACAGGCTTCCCTTCCATCCTTGGCCACGCCCTTTAGCCACCCTGTCTCTGGAGAACCTGACTTTTGCTAGAACTGCTGTTTCTACTTCTGGGTGTCGTAATAACCTTGGTCTGTTCCATCACATCACTTAGATTTTAGATCCTGGATATTAATAGGCAGCTGTGTACTGAATTTAATTTTACCTCAGTGTTTAATGTAGACGCATACTGAAACATGATGGTTGAACGGTCCATTTGAGAAGGAGTTACGACATTGCTGGATATGCATTTTCACCTAGCTCTCTCATGTTGTTCGTTGATCTTTTACCCACAGCCATCATTCCCAAGAAAATGTATATTTCTTGATTCCCGGCTTAAGAAGCAACCAGGACAGACCCCACCCTTTAGTTGCCTAGAAAACCAATGAGCTTCACATGGAAAGCCCCTGCTGCAGCCATGTAACCTACTGGGGCTACTATTCTGTGTGGAAGCAAGCAAGCAAGCCCCCGTTTGAGGAGCTGCCCACTGTAATCATTCCTATTATCTAGCGTCTTGTGGGGAAGGGGGGGGGGTGTCTGTTGTTGAGAACTCAGCGTGAGGCACTCGCCAGTGCCTGCTGGACATTGCGGTGTATGTGCCTCTGACTTGTAAAGAGTACAGGACCCGTCAACCACCAGCGTGTGTGTGTGTGTGTGTGTGTGTGTGTGTGTGTGTGTGTGTGTGTTAGCAAGTGTGGGCAGTAACCAAAACGTCCTGTCAGAGGCTCGTTATTCTTTAACAAGTAAATGTCAATATTTGATCAATGGCTCCTTTCGGTTGCAGGGACCAGCAAAGGATACACGATGATGTAATGCAGGTTGCCTGGCAACAGCTGCGGCAGGCAGGCTTTGTGGTTACCTAACAGAGGCGTCTTGCCCTACTCGGCCCAACCCTTAGGATTATGTTGCAATAACCCAGTAATTCTCAACCTTCCTAGTGCTTCCTAGCCCTTCAATACGGTTCCTCAGGTTGTGATGACCCCCCAACCATAAAGTATCTCATTGCCACTTCCTAAGAGTAATTTTGCTACTGTTATTAATTGCAATGTAAACACTTACTAGGCAGGATGCCTGAAATGTGACCTTCCCCCCCCCCCCCCCGTGGGGGTCGGGACCCACAGGTTTAGAACCACTGTGTTAGCATAAGCAAACAGTTAGCCAGGCAGGGTTACTGTGAGCACGCAGAAGCCCTCAGAAACAGTTTTCTCCCGCCCCGCCGGTGGCCGAATAGAAAGGCTGGGACCTGACCGACCGTGCGGGAGCGCCCACGGCTGACCTAAAGATGGACGCACACGTGGTAGGCTGTGTGTACAGCACTGTAGGGAGCTGAGAAAGAGCCTTTCCCGTGAAGAAACTCAGTCCTCAGGTGCACAGCTGCCAAGAGCTGCGCCCTCTTGCCCTTCCTCCCCCTCCCCCCAATCTGAATGAGCGTGGAGGCCAATTTCTCTTCAGTAGGGGCGTCATTTGAGTTCAACTGAAGAATGTAATTCATTATAGTAGGCCATCCTCTGAAAAATGTGTGTGCGTGTGTGTGTGTGTGTGTGTGTGTGTGTGTGTGTGTGTGTGTGTGTGTGTG